CACATCTGCATTTTTTTTGAGAGACACGAGTATACCTTGATTAGAGGGCAGGAATATCTCTAAACTTCGGATATATATGTAATTCCAAAAGTAAATAAGAAACACAAACCATCAACTTCGTCAACAATTAGCTCTTTTGGTAGACGTCGAGATCCTGAGCTGAACTGGAAGAAGTGCACCATTGAATCAACAGCGACAAATGCAACCTAAAACAGAGTAAGGGAAACGTGGAACAAACGTTTTTTTGCTAGAAACAGCTGCTGGAATCCTTAGGTGATAAATCAAATCAATTTTATTTAAATATCTTGGAGGAACTTTTGTATAAATGCGCTATATATTCTTCAGAAAAACCAAAACGCTTTTACCTGAGTCCTGTCATCTCCAGGAAGCTGATCCAAATTGATAAGAAGCTGCTCAGAGAACGCAAACAGATATCCTAGATAATGATGGATGCTAATCAAGAATCAGGCAGACGTCAATAACAAGCAAGTCCACTGAGTTCAAGATTAGCTCAAAATTATATTGGTTCGCAATATAAAGTGGAAGCTAATATTTTGGAAAAGAGATATACTTCGCGCTCCCATGGGCGTGAGACACAGGAGGAACTTTGAGAAAAGCCAAAATCCTCTCATTACCTGCTTCAACTGCAGCAGCACTGACATCCAAAACGAAAACGTAGACAGCAGGTTGTGGTGGTCGTAACTTAAAAAAAGTTCTTTCGGACATTTTATCCACTTGCATTGTCAATGTATCTCTTGAAAAATGTCTACAGAACATTCGTCCTTTCGATATTACGTTGTTGGAAAGTCTTGTCAAGCTTCAAAGACAAAACTCTAAGTGCTTGAATGAGACCGTTGATTTCATTAGGTTAACATTTAAAAGATCGGCTCAATCAGCTAATATAGACAGTGTAGTCTTATTCTTTGTTAATATTGATAATATTTTCAAATGCAATTTATTCAAATCTCTGTGAATCCATAATGAAGCAGTAAGCAGGTAACATTGTTGTCAAACGATATGTTTTCAACGTTCTAAAGTTTTGTTTTTCCAGGCTGAAAGGACAGGAACAATAGCATATCAATAAACTTTTCACTTAAAATTAATTAACAACTCACCATGTATTCATTCGGAGCAATGAATTCGACTGTCGGATATCTAATTTCAGGCCGATTAACGGGATCTCCAAATGATTTCGTGTTTGGGTCCCAGCAGAAATCATCCGGCACTTGAATAGAAAGTATTAGCCAATAGGAAGTTTGACAAGAAAAAGCATGTAATTTTGCAAATAGCTGAACGCAAATCACGATCTCATAGTTTAAAATGAAAAACATGTAAAGCTATAATGATTCCAGCTAACTTTTGTGTAACAAAATTACTTACAGTCATTATTCCTGCTGCATAGGTTACACTTCCAATGCCGTGAATCTGGTAGATACACATATGGATTGATGTATGTTCGACAATATCGGCAGCGAACAATTGTTGATGTTTGGATTATATTCAAATTCTAAAAAAATGAAGCCGATAAATAAAGCATTTGAGTAGGAAGTGCGAAAATGATTTTCATATCTTCATATCGCGAAAAGGATGCAATGTGAGTCCTAGTGGTAACCGACTCTTCTTCAGAAGTTCTTCGTTCTGAGGGATCATGGCCAAAGTACATCGAAAAACACTGAAATGTATTACATTTTCATCTAATCCATTGATGAGAAATATCGACTAGTGATGATTTTCATTTTCGAGAGGTTGGCTCAGTCGCAAAGAAAAGAAGACTCAGCTGTAAACTTTCAACAAAACATGAGGAGAATGTCATCTGTAGTAATTACCAAGAAATATTAAATGTTTTTCACATCCAGTATAAACTTTAATTTGCTAGTACATGTAAACTAAGAATAATAATGCATATCTGTAAATGATCTATGACAAACAAAAAAGGAAAACAAAAATATCTTTCCAAGAAAACTTCTGTACATGATTCGTACCTCGGATCCACTCGTGCCGTGTTATTAGCCATATTGTGTGGAAGCGTGTATTCGATATCATCAAATCCCTCTTGAAGTATATTCCTCTCTGCCATAAGATCAACTATGTCTGACGGGTAAGCTGGGCTTGAGCCAGCAGCCCAAGTAGAATGAGCTACATGTGGTGCAAATACCGTAGTCCTCATATTCTTAAAAAGAAAAATTAATATAGTAGTTGCAGCATAACACCAGTTACCATCTGACTGAGTCCTTGCTGCACTTCACTCAAGCTAGGCGGCACTGCCGACGTAGGCAGCGGTTCAGTGGCATGCGAAGTTGGAAAATTGTATGTCTTAATTTGAGCGGGCAATGGAGGCACTAAACTATTATAATTGAAAAAAAA